TGTCTCTACGCTGATATCTGTACAAATATGTTTGTCGAAGTGGCGTGGTGCTGTCTGCCGTTGTAACGGAGTTACGGTGGTTTAGAGCATTATTTTAGCGGCGTGGTTTTGCGCGCCGTTAGGTAACGGGTGTTACTGTTCAGTGGTGGCTTGGTATATTTTGGTGGTACAGTCGCGCGTTAAAATGCACATTCTGCCGTTTTTTCCTCTTTTTGTCCTTTTACAATCACTTAAGTTTCTTTTATTTGGTTTTTAAACTTTTCACCTTAAGTTTCAATGTTTTGTTTGCTGTACCACCAGCCACTGTATTTTTGCTTAATTTAAAAAACAACTTTAGCCACTGTATTTTTGCTTTGTTCAAAAAACCACTTTACCCACCAGCCACTGCACTTATCTCGTATTTTGTGTTTTAGCTTTGTAAATTATTTTAAAATTTGGCACAACCGATTTTTTGGATTTTCTGAATTTTGTTCTTATGTTTTGTAATTTATTTTAAAAATTTGGTACAACCGATTTTTTTGGGATTTTTTGAGTTTTTTTTTGTAATTTTTAAAGTTTTTGGCATTTTTTTGTCGCAATCTTTGAAAGTTTTTTCTCTTGCCTTTGTAATAGTTTTTAGTTAATTATTTGTAACCACCACCACATTTTTTTTTAATTTAATTTAATTTTTTTTTTGAGTCCATTTTCATTTTAATTTTGTTGTACACATATGCATGCATATACATATATGTATGTATGCGTATTAAAGTTTTAGTCCTTTTTTTTGGAAAAACCTTTTTTTTTTGATTTTTTTTAACCTTTATTTTATTTTTTTGTAATTTTTGTGTTTTTTAATACATTTTAAGTTCATTTTTTTTTTTTGATTTTATTGTTGTTTCACATTTTATTTTTTTTAGCAAATTTTGTTGGCTTTGCCCACATTTTGAATGATAATTTCTCCTTCGCCCGAGGTTCGCCATTTTGACCGCATGGGTCCCGGTCGCCATGTGAAGTGGCCTTTCCACTTCCATTAAAAATTATATTGGTAGCATACCTTTGCGCTTGCAACTGTGGAGCCCTGGTGCTCCGCCGGCGCGGCTGCCGGCCAACGCTCCATTCCAAGGAGCCCTAGCGCTCCCACGGCGGGCAGTGCTGCTGCTTGCTTCTCGCGGAGCCCGGCGCTGATGCCGGCCAACGCCTGCTTGGGAAATCTGGCTACGCACAAATATGTGCTGGTGCCCCTGCTGGCTATGCGACTTACCAGTCGGTTGGGCGATAGTTGGCTGCTCAATTAAAGTTAAAATTAAAACTTTACTTTGCGGTTTCAAGGTACGCTGGCGAATGCCGCCAATTTATTTTTTCACTTTTGACATAAGCCTAGCAGCTGTCATACATAGAACAGTGTTGCATTTTTAATATCGTAAATTATTGTATTAGATTAGCTTTAAGGTGTGTTCATACAAGGTGATTTATAGGGTTGCAAATTGTATGCTTTTATCGCATTACAGTTAATATACAAATTGATTTTATAAGTGTCTTTAGATAGACATCTGACTGTAGCGCCATATTTTTTTTTAAGTTTGAAAGGTGAAGAAATGAAAATTTTAATTTTCTTAATTTTTTCGGAATTTTGATGACAGAAAATGATTAATTGTTCTGTTGATTATATAACGCCACGCTTTTACAACTTTTTTAAAATTTTAATGTAAAAATGATCTTACCGGAAAACTCGTTGCGTTTATAAAATTACATTCAGGATAAATACCGAAAAAATTAGACAAAGTCCTTTCATTATTATTCAATTGACAAATCATTGCATTAAAATATTTCAGGAAGAGAAAAATATTTCAGTTGAAAACCACTTCTCCTTCGAAAGATATTTTTGGATAGTGTTTTACCTGTCAATTTACTTTTTACAATTTCAATTTACAAAACGAGAGTGAATCTTTAGACCAAAAGCTCTGCGGTTTGCACTTCTTAAGACTTCCACATATTTTATAAGCAGCCTTAAACAGGTGCAAAATGTTGCTCTTTTATTGGTTTTATAAATCGTATGCTTCTAATTTTATAAAGCTCTTATAGTAGTCTATATCTTGACCTTATAAAACATTTAAAGGTCTTATAAGGCGCTGACCCCAGAACATTTAATCAGTGTCAGACCAAAGCCTCTACACAAAGTGCCTCATAAAAGTTTTAAAGGTTTTATAAACTCATGTTGTAGACTACTATAAAATCCTGATAAAACTAGCAACATACGATTTATAAACTAATAATAGAGCTTTTTTTTCTACTACGAAGCCTCACCTCCTTGGGTCCTTTTAGTCTTATAAGGGTTTTATAGACTGTTTTATAGAGCAAAATGGTGACGTATTTTTTCTTCAATTTTGCGGAAGTATACCACTATAAAACTTGTTGTGTTATCCGGGAGGGCGTTTTTCCACCAAATGCTGCGATAGGGTGTTTTCCAATAAAATTCTGAAATAGGGTGTTCTTCAATCAAATTCTAAAGTAGGCCGTCCTTGAAAAGTTTTCTGAAGTAGGGCGTTTTCAAACTGGCTGCCGAGATGGGTCGATCTTTCACAGAGGTATCGTTATGGTTTCTGTGAAATGTGGAATATTATAGACCTGTAGGCTGGATTTTGGGCTCTTTCGATACTCACATCACCTTCCGTTTACTCTTCTGTATCTCGGCCCCAAGTGCTTTCTTAGCGCTTTTTTAGGCTGCTGCTCTGGTCAGCGCCTCAGGTCTGGCACGAGCGCACGTTGCGAGTCTGCACATTCTATGGCAGGCCCTTCGCAGCTCTGCAATTCGGTAATTCCACCAGTGTACCTGCTTTTTACCTGACCATGCTCTCCTCTGTGGCATTGAGGCTTTGCATGACTGGTGTATGCAACGCATCGTTTCGTTCACCAGTTTAGCAGAAATAGTTCTACTGAGCTTAGAATTATTGCTGACTTTTTTAAAACTCTTTATTTTAATAATTTCATCTTGTTTACAACCACTTGCCGGTTGTCGAACTGTCAAATTTCGATTATCGATAACTCTACAGCAGTGGTGCACACGTGAGCCAAATGGAGCCACTCGGCTTTCACGTACAAGTCGTGTGTACGAAGCTATCGAACTTTTGCGACGCTAGCAGCCAGCCAGTTTGCGTTCGCACTTCATGCAGTAAGCACCTCATGTATTGGAAGCTCTGCCAGCGATGTGCACCACTGCTCTACAGCAACTGACGATAGTTGCCAATGGTAATACAAATTTTCTTTCCAGTTGCGTTGCCAGCTGGCAACCGAACCGTGGTTGCGTTGCTATCCGTAATTGACCCATAAATTTCAAGCTTGGAGCTCCAGATTCGTTCTACTCGAATCTTTTGTCATCTGATCTTTGGCCAGTTGACCAAGAACAAGTGCAGTAGCGAATGTAGTCAACTCATCTCAAAGAAAGCACTTAAATATTTACTTTCAAAATGGTTGGCCTGAAAACGAAATCGTGTGCTGTTAAATGCTTTAGTTCGCAGTTGGACTATGATGTCTTCGCAATTGTTGAAACGTAGGTAAACGACGATTTTTTTGACTCAGAATTTTTTGGCCAAAATCTCTTCGCTTTCTTTCGTAAGGATAGGGATGCAATCAGAACGGGCCGCTGAAGAGGGGGTGGTGTCTTGATTGCGGTGCAACGCTAGTACTGCGCATCGCTAATTACACTGGATAATGAATATACCAGGGTTTGAAAAACTGTCAGCCCAGCAGCAACAGCACTACTATTTTTGCTTTTTCTTCGCTTTGAAATTTTTGATTTTCATTCAAACTGATTTGCTTTCGCTGTGACTTTGAAAGTTTTATTTTGCTTTTTTGTCGGCAGTTTATTGAAAACAATTTAGTAAATTGAAGTTACTGCTTTTGATTTGCTGTGATAGCACTTTTCTTGTGCTGAGATTTGCTTGAATATCCTGTGCACATGAAGCTTTGCAGCATGGTGTATTATCGCTGACTCGCCAGGAGTGAGTACACACAAATATTGCAGTATCAATTCCTTTGCCTTGACCTTTCGCTAGCGATTATCTGGTGTGAAATTGGCGATTACCAATCGCTAGCGAATTGCCTAGCAATCGGTAATGCATCGTCGTAGTTGGCTTATGGTCGTCTCTTGTCACCAGAACAACTAAAGGGTAGTGCATTTGTGCATGCATACATATTTCTGCCAATTTGATGTTTCACGATCAAGTGATAGTCGAATTGCTGTTACTTTGCTGCCGCTGCGCTGTCGTTGTGCTTTCACATATTGTTTTTTTAACTGTCTGGTTGCTTTCGAAATTTTACAGCAAAACGACAGCCAAAGCACTTGCTTTTTTCCGAATTGCTGTTGCTTTGCTTTCGATATCATACATGCCGAAGTCAAAGCACAGTAAAAGTAAATCAAATGAAAAAATTACAGCATTTTCAAACCCTGGAATATACCCTTCTCGAAAAATGAAAGTGGCTCTACTCTTATTGATAAAATATTTATAGTTTCCTCATATATTCCGTTTAATAGTGTTGATAGTCTCTTAGAGCTCAGCAGATCACATTGTATCATTACCTACTGACAAATTAGGTGATAACCATATTTTTATTTTAGGAGATTTTAATCTTTGCAACCTTAATTGGTTACAAAGTTACTGCAATTCTGGTCTCACACTACTAATCTCTCAAGTATTTGTGAATATTATTTTAAATATTTTAGGCCTGAACTTGCTGCAAATTAATACCTTTAAAAACAAGCTCGATTGTTGGATCTGATCTTTGTTAGCGACCTAGTCACTTCTTCGGATAAGCATCATATTCCTTTGGTTCTTAACGTAGAATTTTATAAGTTCACCTCTGGAACTTTAGTAGATCGCGGAGTGCTATAATACTTTCAGGTCAGTGGTGTGTAATACATGCTTACTCATGCCGATTCAAAAACGCCCTATTTCAGCACATTTTCAATGTATTTTCAGCTGAGATATGGCATTTTTGAACAGAATTCTGAAATAGAGCGCTCTTCAATCAAAATTCTAAAGTAGGCCGTCCTTGAAAAGTTTTCTGAGGTGGGGCGTTTTCGAACTGGCTGCCGAGATGGGTCGATCTTTCACTAAGGTATCGTTATTGTTTCTGTGAAATGTGGGAAATTATAGACCTGTAAACTGGATTTTGAGCTCTTTCGATACTCACATCACCTTTAGGAATGAGCGAACTGGAATAAGTATTTGCAGGACAAAGCCGGTGTATTTCTACACAAAGCTTGACGGAAGTGTCGGTGGATGGTTCCTTCATGCAAGGCGCCAGCATCAGGCAGCGCTAGCATACAGGAAGCAGTCGAATGTCTGTTAAGCTCCTCGATTTTGGCAATTGAATTTTCCCCGGTCAGACTCATTTGGGAACCAGGCCATATTGATATTGCAGGGAGTCGCGCTGCGGAGAATTTGGCCAGCAAAGATACTGTCGAGTTGTACTCACATGGTATGGAGTGGGAGTACTTTCTCTTTGGTAAGCTTATTGGGAGTATACTTAGGTATTGATTTTCATGCGATATGGCTAAATGTCACATCGAAACGTCACTGCCCTGCAGGGAAAAAATTATCAATTGATTAAAATAACCAACTTATAGTTAGCTATTTTGCGGGATTTCGATAAATAACTAACTTTACTTAGCTATGACAAAAGCAACTTTAAGTGAGTTGTAAAGTTGTGCAGGAGTAATGCAGATGTTATCGTGAGTTTGTTTTCAATCAAGTATCATTTTAAATATCCTCTTAAAAAATACTTGCAATACTCTTTTTTACTGCACTTCGCAGATTCTTTTTCGAGTTCTGGACAAATAAAATAAAGATCGCAATTTTACATTATTATTTTGATGTTATGTCTGATGGAATTCAAATGTGGGACCACCTGCAAAAGAACATGAAAACAAATAAGCAAATATGTAATGTTAAATAAAAAAAGTAAATAAATAAAAATAAAAAATTGATTTTTTTTTGTTAATTGATAGTTTATGTCCGAAAGCAGTTAGTTGCAAGTTAGTTGACATCTAATGCAGAGGAAACCAGTTCTAACTATTTTGCGGCCATCGCCCTTCAAAAGTAGTTAGTTACGGCCAAAGAAAATAGTTAATAAATAGTAACCACCAGTCCACTGCTAGTTAGTTAATAGTTAGCTACAAATTATTCCCATGTCTTGCAGGGTGTATACAGAACGATGAGGTGGAATAAAAACTGTGCCTTAAGCTGACAAAATTTTGTGAAGCTGCCAAAAATATTTACTTAAGTACAAAATAAGTTGTTCCTTACAAGAATACATAATTTTTATCTTAGACATTGACACTGTTAACAATAGATTGGCGCTTACACATATGTTAGTGTTTGGCCGAACTTCTCCTCCAATTTGTGGCGTGCGCCTTGATTTTTTCACACAAAGGGGAGGGACCTACAGTTTTACGCCGACTCCTAGTGCCATTTTTTATGAGAAGCTGTTAGAAAAAAACCGCTCTTAGAAAGAATTTTTTTTTTAAGTTGGGTTGAAGCGGGCTTGAACCCAGGACCCGCGTAATGGTAACTTCCACTGCTAACCACTACACCACAGTGGCCGCCTTTGACACTGTTATGAAGTTGTAATAACGGGCAAATATATCTCATTTCTTAATTTAGCTATTTTTCTAACTAAATTTTTGATTTAGCTTTTTTTAGCTTTATTTTTTTGTCCACTTAGCCTTTTCTCTGAAAAAGTTCTGGCAACTGGCAAAGATAAAATGTATTTCTAAGTTAAGAGTTTAATTTTCCAAAATCAACATGGATTTGTATCCGGTCGCTCCACAGTTACAAATCTGGCAGTCTTTAGTGAGTATTGCATCTCAGCATTTTCTTCAGGATGCCAAGTTGATTGCAACTACACCGACTTTTTTAAAGCCTTCGACAAAGTTTCGTACATGGCATTGATCGACAAACTCCCATACCTTTGCTTCTTTTCAACCTTTCTGCAACGGCTCAAGTCACACTTGTATCGACGGCGGTGTTTGTAACTGTGAATGCTCGCAATCAGAAACTTTTTGGTTACTTCTGGCGTTCCACAAGGTAGGATTCAAGGTGCCCTGCTTTTTATATTATTTATAAATGAAATCCGTTAAGAATTCTGCTGACATAAAAAATCAGAGTTGGATAACTTTTATTTATATTTAAATATTAACAAATGCTTTTACGTATCATTTTCAAAATCGAGAAATTTATTAAAAACGCGGTATAGTTTATCTGAGTGTAACTTGCAGTCAGTTAAAGAAATCAAGGATCTTGGTGTTATTTTTGATGGGAAATTCTCATTTAGCAGCCATACTAATTGTGTTATTTCGAAAGCATATGCCATGCTTGGCTTTGTGCGGCGGAATAGGACTGAATTTTCCGATCCATACACTTCAAAACTGCTATATACCTCTTTCGTATGCTCTCATCTGGAGTATGCAGCAATAATCTGGCGTCCTTTCCACCAGTTCCATATTGATAGGAGTGAACGCGTTCAGAAAGTTTTTCAAATTTGCCTTAAATTCACTATGCTTCTCTGATTCCATACCCTCATATAATGAGCGCTTATCGCTGCTCAATCTAAAATCGTTAGATAAAATTAGGTCAATACTGTCTTTAACTTTTATTTTTTGCATTACTCAAGAAACGTGTGACTGTCCGCAGTTTTTACGTGGAATAAATTTTAATATATGGAGGTATCTTCGTGCTTCCCTGGGTTTTTATGCTGGAAACTTCAGAATTAATTATGACCGCAACTCACCCATTGGCCAGTCAATTTGTGAATTTAAGCCGAGCTCAACTACTATCGACCTATATTTCTCTCTACCTAAGTAAATTTTTACTAATATTCTTAGTTTTATGCCCCAGGTCAAGCTTGATTGTCTGTAAGGAATTATTGTTTCGTAGACTGATTGATAAATAAATAAATAACCAAACACGGGCAAATATTTTAGATAATCTAAAAATGGAATAATTCCTAAATTTAAGTTTTTGCGAAAAACTAAGGCCTTAACCAACATTTTTTTACCGCGCTTTTATTAGCTTGGGATGTAACTATGTAATATTGTTGCGCCAATAAGATGCAGCAATTTCCATTCTCAAGTTACATACCTGATGACAGTACGAATGGGAATTGCTTTACATTTCCATTTGTACTCTCATCAGGTTACTTTAAGAATTTCCATACTTAAAATAAACTGATGACAGTACGAATGGAAATTATAAAAACGAGGTTTTAGTTTTTTAAACTATATTTATTATTATTTTACAGGAGAAGCAAAAGCATTATAAAAAGAGTATCAAAAACAGGTAGGGGGTTTTAAAAAGTGGTACTAACACTTTAAAAATTTGTACTGAAGGTGTATTTTTATACATCCTACCAAAATCTCTGAAAAACGCAGCTTCGAAAAAAGTGTTGGTAATAAATATATTATATATTGTACTATGTTTATGTTTATTTTTTTTAAATTCATAGAAATATTTCCGGACCAATCATAGATTGGCTTTTTGTTGATTTTTTGAAATGAATTAGTTTACTAAAAGGCTTACACGGATTTTATTTTTGGCAAAGTAGGATTTTCCTTTAATTTTTCGAAAAGTGAAACGCATGTTGTGTCCTCCTGTAGCAAAGACGTGTTCATAAAAAGTGCGCCATAAAAATAATTTTGTCCTCCCTTGACTGTTTTAAAAGTTGCGAAGCCTACCAAAAACATCAACAAATTTAAAAGTTTTTCATAGTTTACCTATACTCTTGCTAAATTTTTGACTTCTAAAATGTTTTCTTTGGAAATCCACATTTAAGTATAATACAACAAAAATTGATTAGTCCTAGTGGTAAAACACCTAACCTGTACTCCGCACCTTAAAAAGTTCGCAAAATTTTCTTTATTTTGTTACACCGTGTTATGTTTAGTGTTTTTAGGGGCTTGGATAACAACCAATAGAATATACCCGCAAAGAAAAATAAACTTGGTATTTTAAGTATGTACGTACTTATGTATACTAGTTTACTAAAATTTTCTTGAGTATTTTACGTCACGAACATCATGTAGGGACAAATTTGTGTAAGCTTAAATTCAGCTTAAAAAATAACTCAATGGTTTCGCTTTTCCATTCCTGCTTATAACAGCTTTTTGACCTAAAAAATAGATATATTTAGACAACTGTAATGTTAGCTAGCAAAGAATATGTAACACCTTCACTGTCCGAAGTGTTGGCAATACCCATCACTTCCAAAGATTTCATGAGAAAGCCAAGGTTAGAACGATCATCAAGATATTTGTTGTCAATTCTTAGAGTCCTACGTTCACGATTTTTGGTTTGCGTATGCCAAACAAGAATTTCTGTACAATTGCGAGCTCTAGGCTCAATTATAGTCAGTTCTAATCTAATGCTTCGTAAAAAGAGGTCTTCTTCATATCCCGCTTTATAAGGCATGCTGGCATTTGGATGTTCAGCCATGTACGCTAAATTTGTTGCGAAACCGGCCATATCTACTGGCCACCGCCTTTCCGCTACCCAAGAATCGAGAAATCCAACAACTTTACCCTGTGTGAACATAACGTTAAATTAATATAGATATCATAACAAGAATATTATTAAAAACTTACTCCCCGAACAACTGGCCCACTAACGGAATACTCTTCAATTAATCCCACTGGAAACATAGAGACGCGTTGCGTATCTCTTATTTCAGAAAAAAGTTTTAAGTCGTATGTATTGTCATCATCACCGAAGTACAGAACACCGTTTGTAATATTCCTTTGTCGTAACCATCGTATTGCTGCACGACGATTTGCCACACCACGAGGCAATGGCTTCTTCTTTCGATAGAATTCTGGCATTGGGCTGGCCAAGTGCGTAAAGGGCAAACCTAGAATTGAAAATGCATAGCTATCTAATAATAAATCTTTAACGAAATTATATTAATTAAAAAAATTAGTATGAAATGGTTCTGTGATGAAATTTTGGCATTTTCGGTATCATACACTGCAGCATCCCTTCTTAATTTGATCTTGTCTTTTCACACAATAACTATCATAACTACGGTGACCATATTTATGAAAGCCGAATACGGGACAAAAAATAAATTTGAAACTTTTTTCCACACTGTTTTCCCTGAAACAATATCCTTATAACATCAAAATTTTGTAGGATAATTTTCTCGAGATTTTTACCCGTAAAATTTGTTAAAAATTTTCGTTAAATTTTAGTATAATAAAGTGCAATTTTAAGTCGGTAAGGCTTACCACTAATTTTTGGCAACTTTTTTTTGTTGACGGTGTTACGCATTTTTTCATTTAAAGTATGTATGTTCGATCTTTTTTTTTTTGAAAGAGAAACAAATGAGCAGCACTTTTCACTCGCACTTTATTATACTCAACTTTAATGAGTTACAAAACTGCAAATCAAATTTTTTTCTAAAGATTCTAATTAAAAAGTTTGAAACTTTGGGGAAACATTGCAGAATTAATTTTTATAGTTTTTGCACAAAGTTGAAAATTGTGTATTAAAAGAGCGGTACTTTAATAAAATAAATAATAAACATTAAATAAACTAAGGAAAAAAAGACAAAACTTACTAAAATGTCGAGTCCTAATTTCTATTTTGGCCACTGTATGTATTCCTCGATTCGAATCATAGGTATTCAGATTAGAAGATTATAACTGTTTATAAAGAAAATTACGATTATATACCAACATCACTTAAAACTCGTTCATAGGCATGCCATTTTAATGAGAAGTTAAGGCGTCAGAGCACCGAATACGGGACAAATAGAGGACATTAAAAGAAATACAGAACATTTGGCGTCCCGTATAATATAAATTAATTAACAGGACAATGGGCCAAAAATAGGACTGTCCCGTATAATACAGGACGGATGGTCACCGTAATCATAACTATCCGACATCAACATATTGACAAGTCTTGGGCATGTATTAATTTATTATTATTTAATTTTAATAAATTTTTATTAAATACAAGTAGACGCGAAATATTTTGGTGCAACATTTTTACCAGCAATGCAGTTCACGATTTTCAGTGACACATTTATCTAGGGCTTTCGATTTCTGCTATCACATTCTCGAGCATTTCGATACCCGGGAAATCGAGTAATCGAGTTCTCGACACAATCTCGGGTATCGCCATTCTCACGAGCAATTTCGAGTAGTTATCGAGACATATGTACGTAAATATGTACATATTGTAATATTATACCTTGTACAGTATATTTTGCTTTGCAGACTTTGTGCTTAAGTGCACATTTAAGATACCTACCGCAAAATGCGCATCAGCGGCATTATTTTTAACATTTATAAGGAAACTGCTCCGATACTTGCATTCAACATACCTGCACATTAGCGATACCTGCCTTAAAAATTTGCAACTATTATCAATTATCAAAGAAAGTATTACGTTTACCTGCACTGGCTCTGCACTTACCCTAATTTTACAAGCTATTATTTATTTTGCTCATCTCGCAGAACAACGAAAACGGCAATTATTTTATGTAGTTATATAGATAATTAGATACCATTCGGAAAAAATTTCTCTTGCAGTAATTTCTACGTGGTAAGTGCTCCTCCATTATTTGGTTTCATAGGGATTCGGATACCTTCCTCATTGAAGTAGTAAAGAAAATTCGCTTAAGTGCTTTTTTCGGTTAAGCGCACAAGTTTTTCGTGCAAAGAAGGATGGGCAGCTAAGCAAAATATACTGTATATACATTTACTTGTCGGGTTATCTTGTATGCATGAGTACCACAGATTGCCGTAATTTTCGGAACTAAATATTTTTATCAGAGCATGTTATGATATTCAAAACTGATCATTTTCTTTTTGTAAACTTCTGTGTAAGTATAGTTGTATTGTGTATATGTTTGTTTTTTACTTGTTATATCTGAATGATCTGTATATGTTTACTTGTTTTTGGTTATATATATTTTTATATAAAAGTTTTGGAAATTGAAATGAAGGCAGAATGAAAATAACGTTTGAGGCGGTCAGTTCATTCGAAAAACTAATAATTTCTTTAAAAACGGCGTCCTTACAAGCTCAGAAGTGGGATAGGAACGCTCATAAAAATTCGATTTTTTTTTCTTCTCAATTACTTTATAAAAGGACGTTTAACGAAAGAACTTAATATATGAAAAGCGAAAGGCAATGGAGTGTGCAAAAAGGACAGTAAGGAAAATAAAAGGATAGCAAGGACAATAAAAAGGGCTGAAATAATCAACAAAAGGCGAATTTATAAGAAATAATATACAACAATTGGAACAGCAATCTACAAGGAATAGACTCATTCTGCGAGTCTGCGAGAAACTAAATATCTACAATCAATATTACGTGTATATACAATTTAAAAGGAGTGAAGCAGTTTAAAACAAGGATAAGTACAAGCAAAATAGTAGATAAGAGCGAATTTAAACAACTATTTTAAGTAAGTTAAGTAGTGGCCATGGAAGAGCCTATTTTTGCAAAAGACTACTCGTTGTCGCAGCTGCGCGAGTGGTTAAAAACGTTAGGTTTACCTACTCCAGGTTGTAAAACAACACTTGCGTTAAGGATCAGCGAAGTGCCAATAAGTAAGCGTGGCAGTTGTCTGATTGTTCCTGTTGGGTTGGATGAAATGAACGAAAATTCAGCAGACGAGGTGAGAGTGTTGCGAGAGGACGAAAGTGTTTTTGCACGTGAAGTATGCGAAGATGATAGCGCCGCTGCTGTTGTTGATGTTACATGTATACAACGGGAGGCGGAGTTATTGAAGCGTGAGAAAGAATTGCTAGAGAGGGAAAATAAGTTTTTGCGTAGGAAGGCAAATTTTAACACAAATGCGCGTGCGACTTTACCGTGTCAGAGGAACGATAACACGGTATGCAATTCAGTTGAAACTCTCAAAACTTTAGTACCAGAATATAGTGGTGATGACAATATAAATACATGGGTGACTCAAATAGAAAACGTAAGGTTTCTGTATACAGTTGACGAAAGCACAATGCGTTTGTTACTGCTGGGTAAACTTAAGGGTAGAGCGCAACAGTGGCTGTACTCAAAGCCGAATTACGCCGTTGAAAGCTTTGTACAGTTGGTAACTAAGATGAAAGAGGTGTTTGGAAGAAGAGAGAGCAAGCTTGTGCTGCGTATAAAATTTGAGATGCGGAAGTGGCAGCAAAGTGAAGGTTTTAATGAATATTACAACGATAAGGTGATGTTGGCAAATCCATTGGCGTTGGAACAGGAAAAGTTAGTGGGGTATATAATAGATGGTATTACTGATGAGCAGTTACGTATGCAGGGGTATTTACACTGCTATACCAGCAGGGCACAGCTTTTGCAAGCGTACTCTAAAGTGGGACAGAAGATGTCAACAGTTAAGTCAACAACTACATTAGCAGCAAAGTCTAATAGCGTGAGATGTTTCAACTGTAACTCTTTGGGTCACTATGCGTCGAGGTGCCGCAAACCCACTAGGTAAAAGGGAGCATGTATTTCTTGTGTTAGTATGGCACATCGGGTAATCAATTGTCCAGAACGTAAGAAAGCGGTCAATTACGTAGAGGAAAATGAATTTGTAAGATCTTTTTCGTTTGTTGTAAGCCATGATAGTAATTTGTGTTTTTCCTTAGACTGCTTGATAGACTCCGGAAGTCCTATCAGTTTAATACAAAAGTCCAATGTACCTGGCAGATGGAATTTTAATTTGTTTACTTGTGTGAATTCAGAATATTTTGGTTTGAATAACACAAAAGTCCATACGTATGGAAAATTTTTGTGTTATGTTTTGTTGAATGGAAAAGAATTTTCGGTAAATTTTGTGGTTGTAGCTGATGGGACAATGGGCTATTATGCTGTCTTAGGAAGATATTTTTTAAAAACTTGTGGGTATAGATTATTAAGAAAAGATTATTAATGATAAGATGCTAAAATTAAAAGATGAAAGCGAATGTCAGATAGAGACGAACAAAGATGAAAATGAAAGAGAAAGCAAAGTTTGTGAACTTAGTGAAAAAGATCGAAAAATTAAAGTAAATCAAAATGAAAGTTACAGTAGTCAGTTTTTAACAAAAAAGGTAGTTATGAATGAAAGAAATTTTAATGGAAGTGTTGTTGTAGACGAAGATAATTTGGATGGTGAAAATTTGTTGGCTGAAATATTGTTACCTGTTGTGTTAAGCGAAGAAAATGATGTAAACCTTAAGGTTGGGAATAATGTTACTTTTTCGGGTCAAGTGAAAATTAATAATTTGTTTAGAAAACTTTATCTTGGATTGTCACGTCCTCAAGAGCCAAGGGTTAAATGTCAGATGAAGTTAATACTGAATAATGCTAAACCATTTAACTGTCCGCCTAGACGATTATCATATGGCGAAAAACATGAATTACAAAAATTGTTAGACGAATATTTAGAAAAAACGGTTATTAGACCTAGTGAATCTGAATTTGTTTCGCCGATAGTGTTGGTTAGAAAAAAACTGGTGATCTCAGAATGTGTGTAGATTTTAGGAATCTTAACAAGGTAACCGCTAAGGATAATTATCCGATACCGTTAATAGATGATTTGTTGGATAGGTTGGTAAATAAGAAAGTGTTCACTAAATTGGATTTAAAAAATGGGGTTTTTCATGTGTTTATGGATCCAGAGTCGATAAAATTTACCTCGTTCATAATTCCGTTAGGGCAACTTGAATTCTTGAGAATGCCGTTCGGTTTAAGGAATGCTCCGTCAACATTTGAAGGATTTGTGAATAAGGTATTTTCTGATATGGTGAGGCAGAACAAGGTTATTATATATTTAGATGATATAATGATAGCAACAAAAGGTATAGAGGAGCATCCTCAAATTTTATCGGAAGTTTTGGAAAAGTTAGTTGAAAATAATCTTGAACTTAGGTTGG